AAGAGAGCATTTTTAAGTCTTGACCAGCTTATTATTAACTAGAAGGAGCACGACAGAGGATAGAACAGACTGCAAGTGATCACTCACATTTTGCAACCAAATTTATTTAGGGTGCGACTGCAAAACAGACAGCTTATGGACAAACAATGCTCTCACTGTAAAAATAGTGGACAGACGTCACAGTTTCCGCAATACTATCATTGCAAGGCCTGTCACTCCTCCACCTCGTAAGGCAAAGACTTCCAGTTTATCAAATGTGTCAATCCACACTGACTCCGGGACACACGTGGCATCCCTGGACCCCTTTTTATTGCGTCAGGTCTGTTTTTTCCTTTGGCGCATTTGAAGCGTAATTGCCACTGACAGCTGCTTAAATCAGGCAGATCACCTGTTAGCCAATTTATGGGTTGGAAACTTTTTACTTGAATTCATCAGTTTATGCTTCAGTTAAAATATCCTAATAGCCTAATCATCAGTGTCATCGTTAATCATCATGTTGACTGCTAGGCTACAGGGCGCTAAAGTGACCACATAAAAAGAGCTGCAAACTTGTTCCCGATGTGATTTTCCCATTTATTGTCTTCTACAAGTCTCCCTCTCTCTGAATTTCATTATAAATACAGGCTATGCGCATTGGATGGTAAGGTTATTTAAAATATATGAAAAATAGCTATCAAGTTATGAAAGTGTGCTAAATTCTTTTATATTGCATTGTAACTTTTCTTTAATGAAAAATTTTATTGTAATAAAAAATAGCATTGTATTAGGGTCACTTTTTTTTAACAAACCTTCAACTAAAAATTAAGTGCAGTATTTGTACTTCTCCAAATATAAACAGGTGCAACAGATAATAGAAACAGAAGAATGTCTGTTACATCAGTCCTACTGAGCACATTGATATTTTTGAAGTACATGTAGATTATATTTGTTTTATCACAGATTGGATACACTGTACATATACATGTATTTCATATGTAGCCGAGTGATTCTCTCATTGTGTACAATTTGTTGGAGATTTGGACGTAGTTTCCCCTTTTCCCAGGTGTTTCTGTAGCTTCTCTGTCCACTGTTTGTACACCAGGGGCTTCCAATGCACGAATAAACACATGCCCAGTACAGACATGAGAGCAAGCCTTGCTTGAGGTGCACATGAGGTGCTACACGCTGGCCATGCTACACTTTTGGTTTGTGCCACTGCGTGTGCAATGTGTGCTGTCCTGCCTCTAAATTTGATTGGTACAGAATCTCAAATCTCAGTGATCGGCCGGTCAAGGCCGTTCACACTGAAAACCGGCCATTTCCGATCTCCAACAATTGCTCGGTGCATCTCTAATTATTTTCACTATTAGTGAATCTGCCATATTGTTTCTCATTGTTTGGTCTGTAATGTCCAAAAATAGTTGTCGAAAAATTTTACAGAGCCTAAAGTAACCTCTTCAAAGTACTCATTTTATTTGACCAGTGACCCAAAACAATTTAGTGACTAAAAACAGCAAATCGTCAAGTCTGGCAGTCTGAGACAAGCTAGTTTGGCTTTTAAAAAGTGAAATAGTTACTAGATTAACCAGATTTTTTTCCAATGAATTTTCCACAAGTCAACTCCACTAAATGACTATCGTCACCATCTACACATTCTGACAACAAATTCTGTTTTTTGTCCATAACTTTGAAATTGTTGCTATCTTGCAACACATACATTATAGCTGACTTTTGACCCTGAAGTGTAATTTCTCTGACATGATTCACGCCCATTGGTTAACCAAAAGAAGATCTAATCTAGCTTGGTTAAAAAATGCCCGTAGTCTAAGACCATGCTCAGCTCTTGTCTGGGGAACTCACTGGATATGTTGGAATTTATTTTAATTAGTCTGATTAAATCATTGCAGATTGAAGTTTAGCCCAGATGGAGGGAAAAGATAATGATCTGCTCTTGTATATCAGATTTGTTTTTTGTTTTTTTCCCTACCACCCTTAAACCATTCAGTTCCCTCCCCCCCTCTCGTGATCTCATTGGCATGTCCAGACCCCTAGGTTAAAAACCACTGGCTGATAAATTAATCAGAGGTATATTGTTAATTCTGCTGGCCTTGTTCCTGGAGGAAAATTACAGATGATTCCTTTAGTCTGAAAGATATCATACCCCAGTGGCTACAGACATTCGGGAGGTGTAGTTAGCTAAAGTCAGCAGAGCATGTCGGCGCAGAGCAAAGTGAAACCTTGCCCATATATGACTGTACACTTACCAGCCTACCGTCCAGAAAAACAACTCCGCTAATCTCTAGAGTACTGCATCCACCCAAGCTTTGGAGAGCAGACAAAGAAAAAAAAAACCAGCGGTAAGCATAATCACCTGAGGCCTCGGCTCTGCTGCCTGCACATCAGTAATGATACACATGAAATTCACCACAGAGCAAAACAACAACTGCAAAGTTTTAGGGGCATATAAACTCAGCATCTGCTCTGTTTCTGTTTGCTTTATTTCCTGCTTCATGAACTGTAGTATATTTGTGTAGTGAAGATAAATACAGATTAAACTGAGACTTTGAGTTGTCAGGTACAACAGTGTGGTAGTCAAAAGGTTTAGCAGGACTGATTGGTGCACGAGGCTCAGACATGAGTTTAGACTGATACTGCTGAACTTTTTTTTTTTTTTTTAGATGTTTATGTAGAAGCATAAAAACCTTAGTCATCACCTTTTGAAAGAATGTAGATGTTTGCAGTAAGAAGTGAAGTTTTGTCCATCTGTGAAGCTTGGGTTGTGTATTTTTAGAGCTTTCTATTAGGCCATAGCAACAGTTAGCCTCAGTGCTGTGGTGGTCTACAGCTGGCCCATATGGGTTTGTAAAATATTTTTTAGCACAGGCACACAGTGGGCACAAATAATTACTGGTGCCATATTGCACGAGGCTCCCCTGCTCCTGCACAGATGAACAATTAATACAGCAGATTGAGGAGAAATGCCAATAAAGAGAACATGCCCTGGAGCAGGGAGCAAAAATAGGGGGAGGGAGGGAGGGAGGGAGGAGAGGAAGGAAAGGAAGGAGGGAGCACAGGAACATGGAAGAGGAGAGTTTGGGGATGAGTTTGTGTTGGTTTATTAGCGGTGTGACCTTAATTTCTGTCAGAACTAAAGCTCTTGCTCTGACTCCTACACTACCAGTGTCTTAAAGGAGTAGTTTGACATTTTGGGAAGGACAGACTTTCTTACAGAAAGATGAGAAGATTGATAACACTCTGGTGTCTCCACGATAAGTGTAAATCTGCTGCCAGAAACTGCTTAATTTAACATGAAGATTAGGGGGAAATGGGTAGCCTGGCTCTGTCCAATGGCAGCAAAATCTGACTCCCAACATATTTAAATCTCACTAATTAACACAAGAGCCACAACAATTTGTTTGTTTACCAAAAGAAAATTAACCAACATGCTGTTTTGGTATTTTATAAGACGGGTTTCAACCAAAAATGCCATGACGTTTAATGGATCCAAATTCTTAAATGTGAGGATTCGCTGTTTTTTCATGCTCTAAAATTTGTAGCAGCTTTTGGACTGTTCTTACAGAATAATATTGCTTGGGCTATATGAAACTGTAATGAACATTTTAACCATTTTCTGATGTCTTTTAGACAAAGCAGTTCAAAGAAATCTGCAGATTAATTGCTAATGAAAACTCTTAGGCACAGCCTCTAATTAACATGGTGTATCTTGATTGTTTAATCCAATCGGTATCTGAATTGTAGAAGCTACATGTTGGAGCTTTCTTGGGGAGTTGTGCTCTTTCTTTGGACAAAGCCAGGCTAGGCAAACTGGCTGCTGGCCCCAGCTTCATACAGGTCCTCAGAGCTGTACCAAACTTCTCATCTACTGCTCATCAAGAATGCAAATAAGTGTATTTCTCAAAAAAGTGAAACTGGGTTGAGCAGGTTTGTGTCTGTTGAAGGCAATGATAGTAACGCACAGGTGACGCTTTTGTTTCGGTGGCGCAGTAGTTGCTTTGTTTTGCTGAGTGCAGGAGCCGCTGAGAGGGGATAAACCATATGATGTGTATTGTTTTCATGTGAACCTGGGTGTGAGTTCAGGTGCGGGGGTTAACAAGATGCCTGGTTCCCTCTGAGGTGACATGGGAAGGGAAGGTTATTTTGATGCCAAGTCCATATTGTTATATTGTAACCAGTGAGACAGGTGTCTGGTGGGTGGGGGTGGTGCCACTGGGGTGTTCACAGGCTCATAGGAGTTAAAACGCACACACACACACACACACACACACACACTAAGATATTCATCCTGAGATTCACGCCCGTAGTTTACACTCAGACACACGGTTTCTTTTTTTTGTGTGTGTGTGTGTGTGTGTGTGTGTGTGTGTGTGATGTTAAAACCATCGTTCACACACACATACACACACACACGCCTGCTCCACAGGGAGCATAACGATCATCTTATGGGAAACGGAGCCCTAACACAAGTCACAGAAATAAGCAAGTCGTCTGAGAGATCAATTGAAACGAGAGGGCAGGTGTGTAGATCACAGCTCACCTGGTGTCAATTGAATAACATCTGCCCCCCTGCTTGACAAAGAATGTGATATTATACATGTTGCATTTTAATAAAAACATTGTAGTGCTTCTACCTCTGTCAAGAATTTAGGCCATAAGTTATTTTGAAATTTGAAAAATTGTCTAGTTTTAAAGGGATTTTTTTATAATGAGGAACAGTGGTTCGCAACAGTGAAGAGAGAAAATGAGTGTTTTGGAGGAAGAGAAGAGGCTGGAAGCATAAAAGATGTAATTTAAAAAGAGAGGAGGGGGAAAGTAGGGGCAAGAGAAACGACTTCAGAAGTTTTTAATGAGCCCTGGCGCTACTCC